CCACAGAGTGATACTCATTTATTAGCCACCGAAAGAAGAAGGACGAATGACTCTGACCGGGATTTCAACTCAAGACATATCAGTTCTGAGTTAGATGCTCTGCCCACTAAGTAACCTTGGTCTGAAGCAATATGTGGTAAATTCATTGCATAAGGGAATTCTTGAATAAGACAAAAATTTCCGTCGTGCAAGATCGAACCCCCTACATCTCCAATGTTCGAAGCAGACCTGTTAGAAAACTGAGCCAGCACAAGATTACACATCGATTATGAAATGGGTCTGTTCGTTACAGGCTGAAAATTTTCCTGTACGCTTGTACGCTGGTGCATGTTCATGAAAGCCCCTCGCAGTGATAAAATGAAACGCGGTTTATGAGGAACGGTGCGTTTGCCAATACGCTCTCTTATGCAAATCCATGTTCGGTCATCTGTTTATGATTCGACTAAGAATCTCCCAATCGGACTACGTGCAACAGTAGATGGCTACTCTCGCGTGGACCAAGACGAAATGCCGCCACAAGAGAGCCCAGCCGTACGCTTCGTCTATTCTAACATGACCACACCAGAAGACTGCGCTGTTTTTATTATTTGCAAGTCACTGACTCTCTACCAGCTTCTCAGCCGGTTACGCCAAAGCAACGTGAGGGTTAATTACTTGCTAAGTGGGATAAAACGCGGTTAAAAACAGAAATTCTCCTTTACGCTTATTTGAACCCGGCTGCTGGAGTGCCTCTTAGCCACTGTGCCACCGCACCCCATAATCATTTTGTATTACTCTTTCTGATTTTCTAAATCGCTATACTTTTCATATGGCTTACATGGTATATTCTTTTTATTAAAATAAATCCCGACCTTTCGGATCGAACTGGATCCATTTTCATTAGACTTCTCGGAAGTACGTTAAGTGGCCAATGCCGTTACATACTGTGAAATGAACTTTGATTCAAGTGGTGCAGATATGATCGAAGATTTGTTAATTCTTACTACGGTTCAATATGACAATTTTAGATGTAATTCATTCTTGTTATTCCTTGCTCCTTTATTGTTTCTTTTCCGATTGATAGCAAGTTTTTTTTCCATTGTCGCTTTTCAGACTTTCTCATGCCTGTATCAATAGTATTTATTTAATCTTCCACGTCAGGTAGTTTCATTCGTGCCGTACCTGTTTCATCTTTTCGCCAGTGAGTGGTATAACCCTCTTTCACCACTTATTCAATATGTACGGAGTTTCTTTTGCATTCTCTTTATTTCCTCCGGTTCTTTAGTCTCGGCCCCCACGCCGTTTTTAATCCTGTCCATTTTCCCTTTGATCTGCATTATTCTATTTTCTGACCTGCATGTGCTGGTCGTCGAGTGTTTCCGGTTTCCGTATCTTCGCGTTCGCAAAGGATAATATTTTTCCACCTTTGTTTTTCATGCTGCTCTTCGATGGTTTTTACACGAGTAAGCTGACTGCGAGACATGAATTCAGATCGAAAGAGTAACCATACATCAGGTTTAGGAACAATTCCTTGTAGCCTCGCGTGGAAACTAAGTAAGTGATAAGAGGTAACAACTGTTTTGATGACGTCCAAGTTTTTAACCATTTCTGCTTGGTTCTGTCGTTTTTTCTGCGTCTTGATAGTTTTATTAACGAGCTTTGCTGGATAACCGCTCACCCTCAGACTGTTACACATGTACTGCAGCACTTTTGGGGTACTGTTTTCCTTGTGAACAGTTTACACGTACTTGTCTGTGAGCGAACGCCTTTACGTCTCTTTTAGCGTTATGACGATGCTTGAAGTTGTGGAGCAGGAAATTCGGATAGGTCGACTTTGGGTAGATTTTTCTTAGGTAAATTCCGCTTCTGCAGGATACCAGTACATCTGGAAACTACTATAACACATGATGACGTGATTCTCTTCAATGCCACCACTGAGGAGGCAACTGAAATTGAAGATACTGGTCATGCAATAACTCAGTCTTCCTCGATGTCGACCGAGCGAAAGTTTGCTTTCGCCATTATTTATGCAATTTGTCATATCATTTTCATATTGAAACAGCAGTAAAAAATCGTTCAAATACACAGCAGCATCTAATTGCGTCTCCCACTGTTTGACGCTGCTTTTTACATAATCTTTTCTCTGGATCCGTTTGTCTATCAGTGGCGATGTCTGTCCGTTTATCTATTACATGGCTGGCCTCGGTTCTGGGATTAGTTGCGAGGAAACCCCATTTCTGAACGCTGCTTATGTGCATTGCGGCTTCTCTTTAAAAAACAGCTCCATTTCTCGCCTTCTACAGCGATCACCTAAGTAGCCGATGGTTCACATACACGATACTTCATTTTCACTTTCCATTATAGTTTCTTCTTTCAGGTCCGGGGCTCAGACTTGACAGACAGTGCTTTCAACTTTCCCGAGTTTAAGCTTCGGCAGAAGGCAACCGGGTTTGGAGCAGACTCCTTCCATATATTTGCACTTGACCGTCTTCTGAGCCTTCTGCCGTTTGCCTGGGCAACAGAGAGTTGCTTCGCCTTTTTTTCGAGGCATTCCCAACACTTTCCCAGACCATCGCAGCTGTACTTTCCCAGTCTGAAGAAACAGCGGCTGTACACTAAGGCTTTCGCGGATGTTCCTATTCTGGATCATGTCGAGACGCATAGGGCTAGCGACTCGTCTAAGAAAGCCCATTTCAGTGGCTTGTACCTGGGTTCGAAGCTCTTCAGTATGGCCAAGACTCATGACATAGGTAGGCATGGGGGATGGAGATCGACTTTAATTGCGAGACCTTCGTCTTCAGACTTACCTTTGCTTTAGTCACAGTGGCTCTGTCTAGCATACGCAAAGTGCCACTTGAAATTCTATTCTGCTGATAGATCCCTTCCTCAAATTTTCCATCACCAGTAAGCACGACTCCGAGGTACATGAACTTCTCCACCGTTTTCACCGCTGCTCCGTTTATCTGAAGACCGCAGCGA